AGCAACAGCAAGCTGATACAAGTGTAATTTCCACTAACCTAGCTATAAACATAGCTACAAAAACCTGGTTTAAACTATGGAGAATAAATATAAATGAGAACAAATCAATTCACATCAACTTTAGTCTCCGCCTCAACAACAGTCCTTCAGTGTTCTTAAACAAAAAAAAAATTCCAAAGAAAGACTTGATCATATATTTAGGTGTTTATCTCGACAAAAGGCTAACCTAGGCAACAAACATAAAAATCAAAAGAAAACACTTAACCTCAAACTACACAAATTTAGGTATCTCCTTAGGTCAAATATTTCACTTGAAAACAAACTACTCATATACAAACAAATTATTTGCTTGGCTATGACATAATATGGTATCTAACTATGGGGCTCTGCCAAAATATCAAACCTAAATATATTTAAAAAATTTCAGTCAATTAATTTAAGGCTAATAACAAAAGCTCCATAGTATGTTAACAACCTTACTTTACACAATGACCTTAATATCTGCACTATACCAACTCTTGCCCGCATTTATTATTCAAACTTCCATACACACACACAATAACCTTTTAATTTCTAATGTCTTCTGCCACTATTCCTGATAATCCCCTTCGGTGCCTTAAACAAAACTAGTCTTGAGATTACTTAGCTAACCTAATTAAATAAATAAACAAAAAAAAAGAATTATTATTTTGAATACAGATTGAAAATGTTGCACCCACATGTGTCTCTCCGTCTTACAAATGTACAACATTGCAAAAACTGTTTTGAAGAACCAAGAAACGAAATTTTCACCACATAAAGAGAAGAACTATGGCTGTGCAATATCGTTTAAATTTTTTCGTTATCGGAACTTCAAAAAAAGTTATTGAAGTTTGAAAACACAAATAATAATGCATTTTGAAACAATAAGAACTTTTTTGTATAAGTGAAATCAAAAAAATAAAAACCATATTGCACAGCCAAAGTTTTCCTTTATTGAGGTGAAAATGTTGTTTCTTAGTTATGACCGTAGCCTTCTCGGTTCTTTCCCGCGCTAAAACGTTTTTGCTTTGCTGTACATGTGTAAGACGAAGACAACATATGCGGGTGCGACAGCCTCTTAATAAATAAAAAACCTAACCTAACTTTTTATAATAATTTTGTATAGTTTGAAGTGTAATTGTAAAGACTAAAACTTTTATAAATTAATGTTAATAACAGAATAAACTATGTCACAAAAGCGACGGAGTGAAACAAAATCTGATCATTGCAATACATGATGTGTATTATTACTTCGATAGTCTTTGAACAAATACTTATTTTGATTTAAAGGTAGCTAAATAGTCGTTCAAACTAACGCCTTTTTCATGAAAGGAAGTTTTTTTGTTGTTATGATGTATAAAATGGATTTTATACACTTTCAATATTTTTACTCAACTATAAGGCTAGGATCTCACCACTAGTGTATTTGCCAAGTGCTCTGATAATCACGTAATTTACAAATAAAGTACTCAGATGACTAGTTTTAAGCAAAGATGGTTTGGTAAGTATTTTGGCCATTTATTCACTTGTAACTAGGACTGCCTCTTTTGAAAGAGAAATAGATCATCACCAAAACTTTTCTGTAAACTAGACACCATGCCTATACGCTAATATACCTAATACTTGAGATAAGAGTTGTGAAAAGATAGGCAATGTAATGCAAGAAGTAGGTAAAATCCTGAGGTGGCAGACAAATTTATAATCTATTTTCAGGAAATGCAAGCAACAAATATTTATTTGCAAGTACACGAGTCATCAGAATATGCCATGTGAACTTTATTTGAATGATTTTGTAAAAAAATTTAAATAATTGTATTTTTTATTGTTAATAGGTATCCATTTATTTAAGACTTGTGTCTTTAGTTATATAATTGTGTTTAACCCTCAACAATTATAAGTAGTTTTGTTTAATTTCTATATTACCTTTTAAGGAACTCTTGGCCACATATATCGCAAATAAATAACTTAATCTGATGGACATTTTTGGCATGAATCACAATACCTCTGGCATCTGCTGTAAATTTATTATCTACACTACACAGTAGGCAAGTGTAAACATCTCCATCATGATGAACCAACTATTAGAATAAAATACAGATAGTTAATCTTCAAGTATTGCTATAAAAAAAAATGTACCTCTACAAACTTACCATTTGCGGTATGAGAATTTCAGGAGTTTTTTTCTTAAGGGAACTTTTAGTCATTTTTGGTTTTTTTGGACTACCAGACTCAGCATCATCATTTTTGGAATCATCAATTCCTTCATACTCTGAATCATCTTCATCAAGTATTGCGCTGCCATCTAGATCATCGTCTTCATCAATATTTTCCATGTTAGCATGTAAAAGAGATTCCTGTTTGATATCCGCAGGTTGGATCAATTTTTGAGAGCACTCTTCTTCTTCAATATTTAATGAAACCAAATTGTTATCTTTACAATCATCTTCTAACATTTCAATTAAATTATCTACTGATGAACACTTTTGCTGCTTTTCGATTTCTTTGATATTCATATCATCATGTAAAATGTCTTCGTTAGAAATAGGTATATCAATAGATTCTTCCTTAATCTTGGGACGCCGTCCTCGTTTTTTACCTTGTTTTGGTGTATCAACTTCAAGAAGTTCAGTATCAATAGTGTCTATTGTATGTATATCTAAACCTTCAGATTTACTCCTAGAATAATAAATTGTTTATTAAATAACATAATACATAAATTTTTTTTTTTTCAATATATTACTTCAGTGTACGTTGATATTGAGAGGTAAGCTCTAATTTAATGTCAGCTAACCGATCTTCAAGTTCATCCACTTCATTCAAAGATTTAAAACATCGACGGCACACAACGATGGAATGTACATCTTCCGAAGAGAGAATTATACCCAGCACACCATCAATTACCTTAACTACAGTTCGATCTGAAGATGACACACGGTGCTGAAATATAGAGATGGCATTCCGAGCTGACACTCCTGTGCTACCATCACAAATTAAGCATGTATTTGATGTCGTTGTTGAAGACCTTTCAAGTTCTAGATCAGTTGCCATGATAACTTCCTAATTTGTTAAATTTCTAAAAAAAATTGAGAAATTCAGTTAGGTAATTACCACAAGAAACTAATTTTAAAGTTAACAATTTAATAAACTTCAACTGTTTAGATTGAGCCAACTAATTTTATATTATTCTGATTAGACAATCATTAAAAATACATTGCTGATGAAATTGGTACCATGTAGGTAGTAGTTTAAATTATTTAAAATCTAAATTACATAAACCCTCAATTCATACCAGTTGAAAACAATGTATGTTGATTGAAAGCTTCGGAATAGTAATATGACAGTAAATTGCAATACAAATTCAAACAAATTATAAATTGATTTCAAAAATAACAGAACATACCTATTATGTAAATAATATTAAAAATTCTGATATTTGCAATCGAACAAGAAAATTATTAGAACTTTGTTTGGACAGACTAAAACTATGTACCTACAGCCCAATCCTTTATTGAAGGTATTTGAGAGTGTAATACGCACGAGACGCAAAACTAAAAAATATGATTATTAATAAAAATATATTCCTACTTCCGATAAATATATTTTTGGAGGGAAAAAGCGGTTCTATGGATATCTTAACCACTGCAAACATGAACCACTAACAATAAACCGACTTTTTAGATTATAATATTGTTGGAAAAAATCGTTTATTGCAGTATAAATTAACAATAAATAATAGTAAAAACTATGTCATTTTCAAGGTTTATCATACTTAATAAATATGAAGTCGCCGATTGGGTGTAATAAATCTATCGGACATCTAGAATCGTGTTTGACATAAGCTATGAGGGTATACGCATAACAACCGTGTTTTTTCGGACAACATTGTTATGGTCATTAACAACAATAACAACAAAATATACCTATAATATAAAATATATATTACAAATGTATCGATGTGACGATGGCGGGGGAATCGTAAAAAAAACAACTAAAAGCTCGGCAACCCGGCTCGGCAAACGACAAAAACTGCAAAACGAATATTGTTCATTCTTCTAAAAATCTCTGTCGTCCGCCGTTACAGCGAACGGTAAGCGTAACGTATCGTCACCGATTTCATAACGACCCGAGGCCGACGAACACGTCAAGTCGTCGGTGGGAATTAGTAATTGTCACTGTAAATACGTCGATAATGAAAAACTGAAAACGGGCTCTGTAATTGTTGTGCCTAGGCGGCGTCTCGTCAGTAATCCGCCGGGAATAGTAACGGTCCGGAATCGCAACGACCGGCCCCGGAAGAGCTTCGCTCACTTCGCAGTTGCAGTGGTCGGGCGACACCGAACAAATTATGAAATTCACATTTACACGCGCAATATAGTAGCGCGGGCGAGAAAAAATAACGTCCGTCCGTGTCCGCCGAAAAATGGACAACCTGTAACGGTCGGAACCAAAGTTGCCAATATGAAAAAACATTTGCCCGTACAGCATTGTCGTCCCAGTGTTGGCCGACGACCTCCCGTCCCCATACCAACCAAAAAATAACGCCGGCGACCGGAAAACGGCGGACGAGGTCGCGAACGGGTTGTACTCACCACTGTCCTAGTGCGTCGTGCTCGGTGCTTCGCGTGCTGTTCGGACGGCGTTCAAAGCTCACGGCGCGTTATGTTCCGACGAAAAAGACTACTGCGGCGCCGTTGTGACCGTTCAGCGGTCGGCCATTTTGGGTTTCGGTTTTATGTGGCAGGCGGCGTACTGGTAGCCCGATCCCCCTCCCCCCGTCTTTGTGCCCGGCCGTGCCTGTGCGTGCGTGTGACTCCGTCCAACGTTGGCGGTGAGCGGCGTAAACAACAATAACAACAACAACAACAACAACGTCGGCGACTGCCGACTGGCGCAGTCGTGAGTGGTTTGATAACGGCAAGGCCTCACACTACGTTGTGATAACAGCCCGCGCCCGTCGTGGTTACAGGTTTTACTGTTCCATGAAATGCGAGGAAATTTGTTTGCACGTTCGTAATTCGTATTTCGTATTATTCGCCGCCGTCCGGGTTCGGGATCTGAATATCCGATTCCACTTCCGTGTCAATATTCCTAGACCCTATAGTTCCAACGACGGTCCTGACCTATCATCGCTGACCCTTTGCAAATTCGCAACGGCTCTGGTCGAAGTAAATTCACGCCTGGGCTATGCGGTCGAGCAGTCTCAGCACAACCAGGTACGTCGAAACCGGTGCCGGATATCGTCCCGGATGGACATATCGCGTGCTTTTTTTCAAATTCGATCTTCACGCCGCTCGGCCCCATCCCCCTAACGTTCAGAGCCGCTAAATCTAGATTTCCAGTTGTCCCCTCGATAATTTAGTCACTCCCATATTATCTTATAAGCGCTCACACCGTGTTATACTACGTACTTATTACATATATTTATATATGGATCACTTTCACGATGTATAAGGCACGCACGGTTGGAGTTACCTCCATACCTAAAAAAGTTATTTAAAGCCACGAAACCTCCAAAACGATGAAGGCCAGTGGCGTATATAGGGGGGAGGCCCCCTAGGCCAGAGCCCATAGTGAAATTGTAGATTCAATTACTTAAAGATATTCATGTATATCTACACTGTTTAGTTTTTCACCATGATTTATTTAGTCAGTTGATTAAAATCGTTTTTGAGGAATCCACAAATAAATGATTGTCAGGACTTATTTTGATTACTTTGATGTTAAATTCACAGTTAGATAACATTAAAATATATATATAAATGAAATTGTCAATATTTTTTAAAAAAGAATTAAGAAATTAATTTTACATAATTATAAAATTAAATTGTGAAATTTTTATTCGTATTGTATATGTTATAAATCATAATTATAACCACCCAGCTCCCAGAAATATGTATAGTATTATGGCTATGTTAGTCGGGCTATGCTTGAATAGACGGATAGTGATAAATTGCCCAAATTGGCCCATAGTGAAAATAATTTGTATATACGCCACTGATGAAGGCACACTAATTTCATTCGTCTTCAGTCCATAGATTTTGCCAACCTCGGGTTTTTTTCCATCAGAAAACCTCAGATTCATTCTAATATCGAATTTCAATAATTTTTTTGCAAACATATGACCAATTGTTAACATTATATTACTATTAAATTTATATTACTCAATCTGTGTTCTGCCCAGATTTATGATGCGACTCAATTAGAACTCAAAATCTAACATGTAATAGACTACCAAGGTGTATCAACAAATATTATATAATTATTTTAAATTGTTTACAGATATTTTATTAAATCAACTTGATATCATCATGTCGGGCACAGTGAAGTATGTAGTAAAAGATCCTTGTGCTAACTCTCAAGTTGTCCATTTACCAACTAGAAATCGTAATGTTGTAAAAGGTGGCCACGAAAAACCGGAAGTCAAGAATCTTATTGAAAAACCACAACTAAAGTCAATGAGAAAAATTATTAGAATGAACGATTTAAAAGAAAACAATACTGAAATCATCACTGTTTCTCCAGAATTCTTTGATGACAGTTCGTCAGAGATAAAAGAAGAACCTATGTCTGATTCAAGCTATGATGATTTGGAAGTAAATTGTGAATATCAAGAAGACCCTGAGGTCATTGTTGTCCGTGGTGATGATTTAGATCAATCTAGTAGTAGCGATTTAGAATTCATAGAAGACATAAGACATGAAGAACCCAGTAAAAGTAAATTGCATAATGATGTCAACTCTTCCGATGTTGTCGTACGAACAGACATTTTAAATGATTTATTAGAAGGGCGTATAACCAAAACTACCAAAAAACTTCTTGATTCTACTAAGATTTCTTATTTGCCTATGCAGCTAACTCCGAATGAATTTCGTTCTACATATACTAATGAAAAAAGCCCATTTAAAGTTCGGCCTATAAAAGCTAACAAAGGTTTGAGACATTTCTCCAAAAGAGTATGTGATAAAGTTAAGACTAAAATGGTTACCACGTACAAAGAAGTGGCAGATGAATTAGTGGCTGAATGTGTGGGCAACAGTAATAGCCCAACGTTTTTATATGATCAAAAAAATATTAGACGCCGTGTGTATGATGCCTTGAATGTATTAATGGCTTTAGATATAATTGCTAAGAATAAAAAAGATATAACCTGGAAAGGGTTACCAACTGGATCAATACAAAACAGTGTATATCTTGTTCAAGAAAAAGAAAACCGCCTTAATAGTGTAAAAAGAAAACTTTTAGCTCTTCAAGAGATCATTATGCAAGAAGTAGCTATTAAACGTTTAGTGAAACGTAATCAGGATATGGAAAATGAATTTGGTCCTCCACCTAATAACACATTTGTTAATCTTCCCTTTATGGCAATTAGTGCGAATGAAGATACATCTGTTGAAGTAGAAATATCAGAAGACCAAAAACAATATGGAATGAGTTTCAATGATAAATTTAGCATGGTTGACGACACTGAAATTTTGAAAACTATGGGTTTTACTTTAGGGTTAGATCGCGGTGAAGTCAGCAATGAAGACTTGAACATTTTAAAAACATTAGTACCCAAAGCTTTTGAAAAACACATTGTTATGATGGCTACCAAAAATGGAGAAATGTTTAATGATATCTGTAAGGAATTTGATGAGAAAATTAGGTCTGCTGAAATTGAACAATCTCCATCAAGGCCCAATATTATTAATAGAAGAAAAAATAAGAGATAAATAAAAAATATTAGCAATGTTTTTTTTATTTTTTGTTATTATGACAATCATCAAAATAGCTACCCATGTTGGATGTGTATATTTTTTCTGTAAATAATTGAATGTTAACTAGTTTTAACTTGTACAGATTTAACTATTTTATAAATAATATAGATATATTATATATATTTATCATTAAATATCAACAATGCATTTTTAATTATTAGTATAAACATTAAATATTACATCATCTACTACTTGTTTCATTATAAATGAATAACACTAAATTTTTATAAGGTTATAAATGTTATGAAGTTATGGAAAGTCACTTGGACCGACAAAAAAATTAAAATCTGTGTAACAACATTTTTTAGATTCTGAGAGAAGAATAACTTAAAAAGCTATCAATTAGAGCAAAGAATGTATGACTGTGAAGTGGTGGTTTTTTTGTCTGAAAATATATTTTTAGTTGATGTGTCAATTAGTAAATGAAAATGATTCGGGTACTAAGCTGTGGTCTGAAAATTGAAACAGTTAATAAATATAAAAAAATTATTAAAATTATTTTACTTATAATAATATTATTCTACACAATGTACAACGTTCATTATTATTTTTTCCCCAATAAACCATATTATTAACACGTACGTAGAGTGTAGATAATTTCAATAATAAAATTAAATATTTTATTAATAAATAAAAAATAATTATATTGTAGAAATTTAGATTTTTATGCACGAGTATACCACCAACATATTCCAACGTTCTACGGGAAGTCGGTATTGACTCATAAGTTAATAACAATACCAAACATATTATGATATATACCTACATAAATAATATATTCAATAATATTATAATAAATGAGGAATTTTTAGTGAAAATTATTTCAACCTCCTGTATTTTAATAGTAACATGAATATTTCAAAAAATATACTTATTAATATAGGCTGTCTTTGCCCAGAATGGTTTTTTATATGCAATGACTGTTCAATGAATTCAAATTTAACACATACATGACAGTAAATTACTTCCGTTCTTATTGGTTCCGCCGCACGCCTTCTGTATGCAAAAGTGGTAGTGACTATAACGGCGTGCGGTGGAGGAAGTTGTTTTGAATGCGCAACTAGTCATGATATTATTCCGATTTAAGTATACTGTACTGCTGAGCGGTTATTACTCGTCTACTTTTCCCCTTTTTTCTGTTAGAAATATTGGAAACAATAATTTTATAAAAGTTATTATGCTTGACCTATTCATACAATCATAAAAGATTATTTTGCAAAAAAAAGTATGCTTCCACTCATTATACTCTGATTGGTATTTTCTTTCGTATAGTTTATCAAATCTATTAGGTGTCATAATGTAAAATAAGATAAAAATTTTTCAAAAATAATGTCTAATAAACAATAAATAAGCTGTTTATTAATATGAATAACAATTATCAAAGAACAATGTCATAAATCAGAATAATTCATTTCAAATTTATAATTCATTTTTGCTGTTTAATGATGACTAATAACAATTATAAAAGAACCATAGTAAAACCATTAACTAAACTTTATACCTTTTTCTTCTTTGATTTGTCTTTGTATATCTAATGCTCTTTCTTTATACTTCTGAGCAAGATCCAAATCTTTAGGTACACCATCTCCTTTATTATACACAATTGATGCATTAACACAACCCTTCAATTCATTTTGATCACAAGCTTTTATTGAGTATTCTAAAAATTTGGGCTTATTAGGTTCTAATCCAATTTCCTCAATACCAGCAAAATGAATATTGCTGGCTACATAACATGCTTCTGAATGCCTGTTGTTACATGCTTTTTCTAAGTAATGCAGACTCTAAAACAGACAGGTTTTGTTATTAAAAAATTGAATATAAATTAAGAATTGCCTAAAAACTTACTTGGAGTAAACTATTTGTTCTTTCATCAATATCAGTAATTGAGTCACTGTGATAACGAAGTTTCATTCCAGCAGCAAAACATCCATCAGACCAATTATATTCACAACCTTTCTTAAAATATCTTATCATCTATAAATATAATACATATTTCACAGTAATAATGTTGAATTGCAAATGAAACATCAAAAAAAACTTTGTTTGTATAGGTATTCATTAAAACAAATATTCTCATTACCTCAGGAATTACTGGTTTGAGATTTCTCAAATTATTTTTTTCCAAATAAGAAGCATACTTATAGCAACTGCGACCGAAGTTCCGTTCATCACAATTTTCTTTATATATTTTGGCTGCCTTATCAGGGTTGTTTTCTATAGTCTCTAAATAATCTCCAAGCAACTGACATGCTACAAATCATTTAATTAAACAAATTCTGTTACTTCAAAAGTTTAAAAAAAATGAGAATAAAATACCAATTTCTGAATTTACTTTGTGCATCTTTTTCACTGAAACAGCCAAATCTATATTCAATCCCTAAGTTTTTAATATATTCCTTAACATCTTCGTCTTTCTTGAAATCATAAGACATTTTTGTTAACAATTTATTTGTTATTACTTACAACCTAAAAATTATTTAACAAAGTCAACTCAATGAACTGAACTAATTGATTAAAATTTAAAATATTTTAACTTTGAAATAGTTTTTAAATTAATAGATTTTTAATTTTAAAAGGTTTATCACTGATCGTTGTTGTTACCACGATTTAAGATATAAGTATATACTTGTATCTTAAATCGTGGTTATTACCACGGACTAAGATAATGGACTGGTTGCCACTGGAAAGTGGAAAGTGGAAACGACATTCGTGCGGTAGGGTGACGGGACCACGCCACTACGCACTACGGAGTACGGGAGACGGCCCGCAAAAGGTTCCTCTGCTATCATCAACACCCAAGTTGAATGTTTTCAGCGCTACCAGTGGTTTCATTTAGCGTCAAATTTTGTATCTTAGTCCGTGTTTTATACAGATGGCACTGTCAACTCTCGATTATCATTCGACCTCCCGCATTTGCCTCTTGAACATAGGGACGTGATATCGAAATAAAAGTATCGATACTTTAACTTGGTATCGAATCGAATGAAAATACTCATAATATGAGTAAAATATCGAAACAAAAGGACCGATATGAGTAAGTATCGAAAAAAAATATCGAATCAAACTAAAATACTGATATAGGTAAAATATCGTAACAAAAGGACCGACATGACTTTATGAGACTAATAGACTATGTATCGAATATTCGAATGAAATAATTTGTTTATACTTAATACTTTCTTTTTCAATATATGAAAGAATTCTAAATCTTGAACATGACATTTTTCTATCCAAAATACTGAAATATGAATGATGTCTATAAACAATTTTAAATTTTTCCGCTAGGGACAACTTACTTTTTCCTAGGCAGTGTTAAATAATTTCATGACTATGATTGTATGAAGTATCAAAGGACCATGATACATTTTACCTTATTTTCAAAGCTATACAATTGCTTAAAAAAATCATTTTATTAATGAGATTGAATTTATAATTACCTATATAGAATACAATTCTAAAAAAAGGTGGGCAAGTGGGTGTCGCTCTGCTGTACAGTAGGTTACAAGTGGGTCATTGTATAATGGATAGTATTAAATTTGAATTCAATGATATAATATCATTGTATAAGAAAAACGATTCTGAGCGGAGACGGTATGTCAGTCTATGTATAAGACATATTATATACATATCTATGGTATTAAACAAAAAATTGACCTATAATAGGTACCTATAATAAATTCCAAATTAATCATATCACAATATCCATTAGATACTTATAACACGTTATACATCAACACAAAACGTGATACTATCATAGATATATAATAGTACACTTTAGAAGTTTCAAGTACCCACGAATAATATTATTCAATCACAACAAAATAACTAAAATAGTTATTCTAGGTTTTTTAATATGTAATTTCGTCCAAATTTGAATTTAAAATGTCTGTAAGAAATAACTGTGTTCATATATTTTTTAGATTTTTTGGTTACAGTATGAACTATTTACGAGAACCTTTGTGTTGAATTTGCAATCCTTAGCTATAAAAACTGAACATTTTATAATTTATTAATTACAATGATTGATAATTTTCGAGATTTTGATAAATTTTGTCAAAATTTGATCTTTAAATGCTTATAAAAAAAAACTGTGCCTATGTATTTTTAATATTTTTCAACTGCTATTGTAACAATATATCAGGAGCCTTGTATTAAATTTTTACACTTTTTGGCCCAACAGATAAAACTTTATTGATATTTATAGAAAAAAAAACTAAAAAAAATTGAAAGCTGTAAATGTCCATAAACATCTCAAAAAGAGTCAAAATATTTTCAAAATTGTATGGTGTATAGAAAATGCTAATTTAAACATTGAGTGAAATTTTCATGTATCTACAGTTGTTCGTTTTTGAATTGCAACAAAATAAGGAAATCGCTACATGAGTAATCGAGTGGAATATCCAATGTTGTAAAAATTTGAATTTCAAACGCTCATAAAAATTTAACTTGACTGTCCGGTAGAGATTTTTTATTGATAAAGGTTATCAATCTTATAAGGAATCTTGTGTTTCATTTTCAAATCTTAGATTTAAAAAGAAAAATTTTTACGAATTCTTAACTCAAAATAATTTGCTAATTTTCGTGATTTTTCCATATTTTGTAAATTTTTGAACTTTAAATGCTTATAAAAAAAAATTGTGACTAAGGATTTTTAATATTTTTCATCTGCCTTTAAAACAACATATTAGGAGCCTTCTATTAAATTTTACCCTTCTAGGTATAAGACATATTATATACATATCTATGGTATTAAAAAAAATTGACCTATAATGAATTCCAAATTAATCATATCACAATATCCATTAGGTACTTATAACGCGTTATACACCAACAACAAACCCTGATACTATCATAGATATATAGTAGATTACTTTAGAAATTTCAAGTACCCACGAATAAAATTATACAATCACAACAAAATAACTAAATTCTTGGTTTAAATATGAAATTTTGTCTAAATTTAAAATTAAAATGTCTGTAAAAAATAAGTGTGTTTATATATTTTTTAGATTTTTTGGTTACAGTATGAATTATTTAAGAGAATCTTTGTTTTAAATTTTCAACTCTTAGTTATAAAAACTGAACATTTTATAATTTTTTAATTCCAACGATTGATAATTTTCGAGATTTTGATAAATTTTGTCAAAATTCCAACTTTAAATGCTTATAAAAAAAAATCGTGCCTATGTATTTTTAATATTGTTCAACTGATATTGTAACAATATATCAGGAGCCTTGTATTAAATTTTTACACTTTTTGGCCCAACAGATAAAACTTTATTGATATTTATAGAAAAAAAAACTAAAAAAAATTGAAAGCTGTAAATGTCCATAAACAGCTCAAAAAGAGTCAAAATATTTTCAAAATTGTATGGTGTATATGAAATGCTAATATAAACATTCAGTGAAATTTTCATGTATCTACAGTTTTTCGTTTTTGAATTACAACAAAATAAGGAAATCGCTACATGAGAAATCGAGTGAAAATCCAATGTTGTAAAAATTTGAATTTCAAACGCTCATAAAAATTTAATTTGACTGTCCGGTAGAGATTTTTTTATTGATAAAGGTAGATAATCTTATAAGGAATCTTGTGTTTCATTTTCAAATCTTAGATTTAAAAAGAAAAATTTTTACGAATTCTTAACTCAAAATAATTTGCTAATTTTCGTGATTTTTCCATATTTTGTCAATTTTTGAACTTTAAATGCTTATAAAAAAAATTGTGACTAAGGATTTTTAATATTTTTCATCTGCCTTTGAAACAACATATTAGGAGCCTTCTATTAAATTTTCAAGCTTTCGCAACCAACAAATAAAATTTTATTGATATTTCTAGAAAAAAAACTAAAATAAAATGAAAAATGAAAATGTCCCTAAACAGTTCAAAATAAATCAAAATATTTTGAAAATGTTATCGTGTATAGAAAATGCAAATATAAACAACCAGTGAAAATTTCATGTATCTACGGTCATTTGTTTTAAAGTTACACCAATAACCAAATTCGATTTTTTGGAAAACCAATTTTGCGTAAAAATTCCCGTTTTTCCTTAATTTTTATGTTGTTTTTCCCGGCGCTTGTGAAAACTACTGGGAAATTTATACTTTTGACCCCCCAAAGTACCAACTAGATTCACTTTCCTATCAGAAAAGCTACTGATGAAGAAAATCCAAGCACTTTTACTGTCCTAAAACGTGATGACAGACACAAAGAAAAATAAAAAATAAAAAAAAAAATAAAAAAAAAAATAAAAAAACACACATCATTGTAAAATCAATACATTCATCGTTTCACTCAGAATCTAAAATATAAAAACATACATCATTGTAAAACCAATACATTCATCGCTCCGCTCAGAATCTAAAATATAAATAAAAATATAAATAAAAAAAAACATACATCATTGTAAAACCAATACATTCATCGCTCCGCTCAGAATCTAAAATAAATATAAATAAAAACATACATCATTGTAAAACCAATACATTCATCGCTCCGCTCAGAATCTAAAAATACTTGTATTTGTAATCAAATAATTTGTGAGTATACGTAAAATACATTTTTATAATAGTATTTTTAATACTATTTTATTTGAATACCTACTAGTATTAGTATTTAAATATCTAGATAGTCATATACTGATATACTCATATTGATATTGTGTGAAAAAACCCACCGGTCACCACGCGCAAATCATTGTACTCGAAAAGAATTTTTCGATAACATTCGACTATTCAAGTCATAGAGTAATCAAGTACTTTTGAACTGATATGGCGGTAAAATGATTCGATACCATTCATTCGATACCAGTACTTTTTTATCGATATGAGTAAAGTATCGAACCCATGGTATCGATACAAAAAGTACTTGTATCGAAAGAAAAGTATCGATACTTTACTGGTATAGGTAGTATCGCAACGTCCCTACTTGAACATACTTTCGAGGCCACTGACACGCTGCTCGTTTCCAGTCCATTATATCTTAGTCCATGCCCCATGGAAATACCATACAATTGCCAACCGACCTTGAAGCTTCAATTTCCTCTTTGTGTCTTTGTCATGGTAATAACCATCGTTTAATAGGTATGTCAGCAACATTGTGATGCGCATATCATCCACTTTTTTACTGTGTGTTACGTTTTCCGCCTCTCATTGGTCACATATACCAACGAGGCAAAGCATGAAGATCGGAAAACCCATAAATAATATTTTAATATTATCTATGGGAAAACCCAACACATACGAAAAAGTGGGGATGCGCAAACGAGAATCAAATGCTTATTGTTGCTGATATACCTCTATATTTTGTCACAGATTTCTATATATTACTAGATAGCGAACTCCGGTCATGAATTGAAGCTTCAAGGTCGGTTGGCAATTGTATGGTATTTCATATGACAAATAAGATGATATTATGATTTATTTTATATC